GTGCAGTGGGAGCCGGTAGGGACCGAGGATGAGTCAAAGGCAGTTCAAGCCATGACTGATGGGTTGAAACTCAGGAGAGTTTCAACAGAGTCTTCTCGATGATCAAGAAGGCTGGTGGCAACTAGAGGTGGTGGAATTTTGAGTTCCGTTATCAGATTACAGAAGTACATGTGCACAGTTGAAGCGCAGGTGAACATTGTTCCGTGGCTTCAAGTGGGAGATTGTTGAGTGTGAAGCCAGGAAGCTAGGTGGAAGCTAACAGGAAATTGGCAGGAAGCTACCTAGAAGCTTACGGCTTAATCATTGTCTCCCTAACTAATCTCTATTTAAGAGATGCTAATGTGCTTGTAATTGTGTGCAACAAAAATAATAAAATTCTCCTAGTTGCCCCGTGTGGACGTAGGTTGCAGTTGGCGGCCGAACCACGTTAAATCCTGTGTCATTTATTTTTCTGCAGTTGATTCGTGATTGTGTGTTGTTTCCGCGTGCGTTTATTCCCAACAGGATCTACACGTATAAATAGGGAGCAGTCGCCCACACTCAATATTTTTATTCCGTAATAGAGCACTAAAATAATTTTTTTTGTAGAGAATTAAAAGAACCACTCGGGTAAAAACTTAGCACTGACAAAAGAAAAATCTTAGTTTTAAAGTAAAGAATAATCGCTTGAAAACATGTACAAGTAAAATATTTGAAATATCATAATTATATTATGTTATGATATATTTTATATTTTAGTTTTCTATTTTAAAAATAAATTTTTATTTGAATACTTGTTTCAAAGTAAATTATTTTTTATCATTATCAAATGATTTAAAAAAATCGAGAAAGCCACCCCTGAATCCCACCATACTCTTTAGTGTGTACTTGCTCTCATTCATTTCATCCTATATGTCAATAAGGTCAGACAGTTGCAACACAAGGCTCTAAACGCATCAATGGGTACTTGTAGTTATCTGTCCCTCTCCGATGCTTTTAACCAAAAAATTCTACACCTTCAACCTAAATAGGACTAAAAATAGAAAAGAGTACCAAATTTGGAGTTTCAAGTTTTTATTCCGGAAATAGAATTTCGCATTGTGGTAATGTCGTTGTAATGTGACACTATACGTGTGCACAATATTATATATACTTTTTGGTAATGTACATGTCCATGTTTGGTAATGTAAATGCATTTTAACTCCTATTTTGGAAATAAAACTATGGAAGTCTTATTTTAGTATATTTTTAATGTTTTACTTCTACTTTAATGTTTTTCCCAGTCAAATATAGTAAACAGAAACATGCAACAAAACATATTATAATGATTAAAGAAAATCATTTTTTTATTTAATTTATGTGAAAGAATGATACAAATATTTATAAAAATTATATATTAAAAAATACATACATTTAAAAAAGTAACATAAATTTACTTACTGCCTCCGTCCCAAAAAGAAGGTTACATTTCATTTTTTCCACATCCCATAAAACACTTCTATATCGTCTCAAATGCCACTTTCTAAACGACTTCTACCCAAAATAAAAGGTAATTGTGATAAATTTTATGCATTTTAGATGTAGGTAAAAGTGTTTTATTTTGGGATGCGCAAAAAATGAAACGTAATCTTCTTTTAAGGACGGAGGGAGTATAAAAATTGTAAAAATGTTTCACATCTGACCTGACACAAATCTTCTCTTCTTCTTTTTTCTTATTTTTTTATTTTTTTTATTTGTAGAAAAAAGGTTTTTTTAAAAATGAAGTGCATATATTTTTATGAAAAAAAAGATAAGTAAAAGAATCTTTTAATAATTAAAATATGTCACAAAAGTGTAAGAAATGACAAAAACAATTACTTGCCACTGCATGACATGCCACTCCACCCACTCGCCACACGCTTATTGGATTTTTTTTGATTGGTTGAAATACTCCACGTCAGCGTGTGATTCCATTTTTTGACTTGTCATTGTCAATGCTCTAAGATATTAGCACAAACAACTATGACCAAATGATCTCTAAGAAAAATTAAATAGTAAATTCTCCACCACTAATATGCGGTGTACAAACAAAAATGCTAGTTTATGTAGTTTATTATAAAAAAATATTATTATACTAGTAAAAATGTAGTAATAATAAACGTTGTATATAACAAAAATATTCTATTTTATCAAATGATCAATAAAACATGCATATAAATTTAAGCTATCGAGAGGCTTCAAATAGTAAACCGGAAAAGAATTAGGGATAGAGGATGTACTTGATAGCCTTTGACAAAAAATTCAACTTTAATATTTGGATATCCTGTTGTTTTTTTCGGCATCTAGACTCTGGATATCCATTATATTGCTTTCGTATCGAACATTGAGGCATTTTTGTCGATGCGAAAACTTCAGAAATTGCGAAGATTTGATTGGATCGATTTGAATAAACCCCTCTATTTGTCACGGGCAATATGGACAACGGTTGTGTTTGGAAAACAGTTTTTCGGATGACTTTTGGCCTTTGTAACTTTCTTTGGCTTTTTGACTAATCGAACAACCAAAACCGTTGTTTGGCTAATGACTTTTTCACTTGGATTCTTGATCCAAAAAAATAAAATTTGAATAGCGAAGGAGTAGCTTTTAGACTTGGCTGTTAGAAAAATTACTTTTTTTTATCATTTTTCTTGAAAGATATTCTATAATATATGTAAAAAATAAAAATAAAAGTTATGAATATATAAAAAATAAAAAATAAAGTTTAATATTTAATTTTGAAATAAAAAATAAATGAAATGAGAAAATCAAAAGTAAAAATCATTAAAAAGTTGTATATTATTAGTGTCTTATGAATGACTCCCTCCGCCCCAAATTAAATTGCATTTTTACTATTCACATAGTCAAACTTCATTTACTTTCTTTCTCTTTTTTCGGTAGTCATTTGATAAAATAAAATAGTTATGTCACGACTAGTTTTGTAGATCTTTTGATGTAGTATTTTAATATGTAATTTTCATGTTACGAATACAAAGCCATGCATATAAGGAAACCATATACTACGTATTTAGCATTAAGTGGTTACATATTGTAAATATGGTAGTAGTAGATTTGATTTATATTTACTTGTAGAATTCCTTTCCTTTTGGAGATCATGGCTTGTAGGACTCAATGCATATATATATATATATATATATATATATATATATATATATATATATATATATATATATATATATATATATATTCGTTCTCATCTGTAACAATACACACAAGAATAATTTCCAATACAATCACTTTTCCCTATCATGGTATCAGAGCACTAGGGTTCTTCCATTTTTTCCGTGTGTTGATCGGTCATGAGCCCTAGCAGCCAAAACGCAGGGTAGCGTCGATCACAATATGTCTGCAGAGAAGCAGTCGTTGACACCGAACTCTAGAAGCAATAAAGGTGCAAATGGCAGTGGCGGTCCAGAGGTTCCTTAGTGTCGAACGATTTCTCCGTACGATCTTCTTGCAAATGATAATCCTGCTTTGATCATATCACAGGTTACATTCAAAGGTGAAAACTATGAGGAATGGGTGCGCGCATTACACACCGCACTTCGGGCGCGTAAAAAGTTCAGCTTCGTGGACGGTTCCATTCCAATGCCATCGGTGGATTCTGGTGATCTCGAGGATTGGTGGACCAATAATTCACTGCTTGTTTCATGGATTTGAAACACAATTGAGCCCTCGCTTCGAACGACAATTTCTCATTTAGAGATGGCGAGTGAGTTGTGGGAGGACATAAAAGCTCAATTTTCTATTGTCAACGGCCCTCACATTCAACAAATAAAAAGGGAATTGGCCACCTTGAAACACGGGCTTGTCACGTTTTTTGTACTAAAGCCGTGTTTGTTCTTATGACAGGTTTTGATAATGCCAAACCGCCGTGAACAATTCGAACATTGAATATACAAGGCGAAGAACGAAGATAAGAGCAAGAGCTAAACAGAGACCAAGAACGAAGACCTTAGTCATAGTATTGAGTCGGTCTTTATTGTGATCAAGATCGACCCAATCTTTACACCTTGGCTCTTTAGGCTAAAATCTCTCATTTCATTTCTTACATCATAAAAAAAATTTTCAAACTTGTTTAAGCCATTAAAAACACTTGGTGTTCGCCCAAACCAAAAACCAAGCCATCCAGTGTTCGGCTTTCAGAAACCAGCGTTCGGCTTTCGGTTATCGGCTTTGGTTTTTGGCATCCGAACCAACGAATTGGATTTCAGCATTTTATGATCTGCTTTCACTCTTTGGCATGTTTAAACGGTTCTCCAATAAAAACACTTTGAAAACCATCTTTCGCTTTTAGTCGTTTGACAAAAATCACGCAAAACGGCGTAAACTTGGCTAGCCGTAGTTTTTACTCAAATGACGTGGTTTTTAAAGTAACTCACTTGATTTCTTAGCCAAAAACATCAAATAAGTGTTTCAAACACTTGGTTTTTATTTTGGAGAATTTTGGATTTTTCGGTCGGTTTTTGCATTAGTTGGCTAGGCCGAGGTTAAGGCAAAGACCATGGGGTTTTGGCTAACCACCCACCCAGCGATGGGAAGATCTTCCCATCGATGGGTAAGCGATCCCTAAGCCAAACCAATTTCCAGAACCATGCCAAACAGCGATGGGGAGTTCTACCCATCGCTGTTAAAGCCTTGGCGCAACATTATCACAAGGCAGAACAACCTTGCCCAGTGATGGGAAGGCTTAACCATCGATGGGAAGGCATGACGTGTTGCAAGTCATTTAAGGTTGATTCTTTCCATGTTTGGAAGTCAACCTCCCACCCAGCGATGGGAAGCATGTACCCATCGATGGGTAGGTGACCGTTGGCTTCAAAACTAAAGGAACATTGGCCTACCAGCGATGGGTAAGGTCCATACATCGCTGGGAAGCCAATATCCTGCAGATCCCAAATTTATTCAATCCCATAAATCAAGCCAATCACCCCTTTAATGTATTGGTCCGTTGGAGCCTATTTTGGCACTATAAAAAGGGGTGTTTGGGTCTGCTTTTATTATCAATTCACTTCACAATATTCATATTATCATTGCATTCAAACAACATCATTTTTCATAGCTTTCTAGAGCCAATTTGTGAAGTTTGAGTTGTTCTTGAGCGTATATAGTTTACTCAACATCTACTCTAAAAGAGAGCCTTGTTCTTGAGTGTCTTAGTGTTGTATACACGTTAAGGGAAGCTTGTTTCGCTTGGTTGTACGAAGGAAAGGTATTTTCCTTCGGGTTGAAGTCTTGGAGTGCGGTATCTCCGAGCAAGTGTTGTTGAGGCTCGTGGGACTCGAGTTCTCAGGTTGTAACGGTTTGTTAAGCACCCTTAAGCTTAACGGAAGTAGTGTAGCTCGAGAGAGTCTCTCGGGAGGCTGGATTAGCCACAAGTTGTGGTGAACCAGGGTAAATCTTGGTGTGCTCCCTTTACGCTTTCTACGCTCTTTATCTTTCACGTTCTTAATTTTTTATTCCTGCGATTTCTACGATCAAACGCTATTCACCCCCCCTCTAGCGTTAGTCACTTATTCTAACAATTGGTATCAGAGCCTAACTCGCGTCCAAACTTAACCGTTTGAGAGTAAAGCGATCATGGGTTCTTCTTCTAGAAATCTTTATACAGGGATTGGAGAAGGTCAATCAACTACACGGCCACCTCTTTTTGATGGAACCAATTATACATATTGGAAAGAACGAATGAGAATCTATATTCGTTCCACGAACTTCCAATTATGGTTGGTTATCAAAAACGGGGAAGAGGTGCCGATGAAGAAAGTCGGAGACAAGTTGATCCCCAAGACCGAAGACGAGTTTGATGC